CTCTGCGGAGCACAGGTTGAATGTTAGGCGTCTGAAAACCCCCTGAAATCCCAGTAAAGAGATTTTAAGGACTGAAGCCTAAAAGTCGTAGCATTTCAAGAACAGGACCATAAAGGAGAAGTGGGAGGGGAAGAGGTTGGTTATAGATGACAATTTATAAAATACAAAATTCTTACAAGTTTTTATTCCTGTATTCACTGATCTCCTATTATGTTTTGCATTCTTCCACAAATCAAATACCCCTTTTCTGTATGTGGAGAAGTGGAATATATGCACTTACATAAACATTTAGCTATAGGTTCTCATGTGTTTGAGTCTATTTATAAACCTAAAAACAGCACAGTGTTTTAATTTCTACATTTGATTCTCTCAGTTCTTTACAAGAGTTTAAATATGCATGACTGGCACTGAATGAGAAATTGTCAGGAGTAAGAAATACAAACTTAAAAGCCTAAACGCATGTTTTTCCAAAGTATGTATTTTGTTTCTAGTAGTAGGAGTTTTTTACCTGCTAAATTCAACAACTTATTTGTTTTCAACAACTTTATTCACCTTTGCAGGGTCCTTGCGCAAGTCTCATGTGAACTTGTTCCCCCCAAGCCAAATCGGCCGACAGAAGGTATACTTTTCTTTAATCTTGAGCTCTCACCGATGGCTGCACCTGGTTTCGAGCCTGGCAGGTACGTAGCTTTTTCAGAAAGACTAAATAAAGATGACATAAGAGCCACTGTTTTGATACATGTAAGTGTACAGCAGTAATCATAGTCAATTGGGGTTAATTTTGTTTTAACAGGCAATCTGAGTTACTGGTGAAACTGAACAGACTAATAGAGCGATGCCTGAGAAATTCTAAATGTATAGATACTGAATCGCTCTGTGTTGTTGCTGGTGAAAAGGTATGAAAGCCTACTAATTTCAAGTGGTTTTAAAGTAAAGGATATGTATAGTCTGTTCTTTAAGGTGGTCTCTGTCTTGTTTTGGAAATTAAAAATTCTGATTTTAGGTTAACATAAAGATGCATGCATCTGACTTCACTGGTATTTTTAACTTGCATATCTACAGAGGCTTTTTGAAGTAGCTGGGACCCTGCACATTCAAATATTTCTTTTTAGAATAAAGTTTAAATTGTACCTAAGTATTGTGTATTTTGTCATCGTTAACCAGGGCTTAAATCTAGCACACTGTGTATCTTGGAATATACCAAGATCTTTCAACTTAACTTCTTAAGCAAAGAGCTGAAGAATATATGCTGGTTCTTTTTATGATTAAAAGAATAAAATTGTTTTGAAAAACAACAATTTGTATAGAATCGTGGTACAAATTACCAAGCAGCACTGTATGCTTTTTCTCAGGTTTGGCAAATTCGCCTGGACCTGCACCTGTTAAATCACGATGGTAACATTGTTGATGCTGCTAGCATAGCAGGAATTGTAGCTCTGTGTCATTTTCGCAGACCAGATGTGTCTGTGCAAGGAGAGGAAGTGACTGTGGTAAGTTGTACCAGCTCATAGTAAATGTTGTGGTGCTGCAGGTAGCTGTTTCTTTCTGTCTAAAAGGGGGAATTTAAGGGGGAGTTTATGTAAGCAGATAAACTCCAAGATACTTAGATTTTTAGGATAAATATGTTGCTATTCAAAATGTGAAAGGATGGTAAGGAAGTCTGCTGAATACAGAATTTTATCAGCCTCAGCTTATGGGAATATTCTTTGTAAAAGATAAATATTTTACAGTATTTCAATGCAATCAAGCATGAAGCCGATGAATGTGCTGTATTTACCTATGTAGGTAGTAAAGAGAGAGAATTATGCAAGAAGAGTAAAAATAATTTTGTTGATATCTAGATGACTGTCTGTCAGTCTTTTTTTCTTTCTGTGTTTTTAAAATACCTTTCCACATTATATCATTTTAAATGAAATGCGTTTCGTAAATAATTGTCTCCTGGGCCAATTCTTTTCAAAGTACACTCCTGAGGAACGTGATCCTGTCCCCTTGAGCATCCACCACATGCCAATTTGTGTCAGTTTTGCCTTCTTCCAGCAAGGGTAAGATTAAGTCTTTTGACAGAAACAGCTTATTGTCAGTTCTGCAGAATTGATTTTTAAACATAAGAGTCCTAAAAATATTTTTATTGACGAGCAGATTTCTTGAAACATATTTTTCTACAGTAGGGAGACACTTAGGTGTTCTGCACAGTGTAAATAACCAGCAGCTTTCTGCAGATGATGACATAGAAGACTTTCTGGGGCGAGGATACTTATAATTACTAAAATGTAAACCAGTTCCTTTTTTTAACTGTTTTAATAGTAGTAACTTGCCTCAAACTTCTACTGTTGTCTTACACTTAAAAACTCGATTCTAGGACCTATTTATTGGTGGATCCAAGTGAACGGGAGGAACGTGTAATGGATGGCCTCCTTGTGATTGCCATGAATAAACATCGTGAAATTTGTACCATCCAGTCCAGTGGAGGTGTCATGCTAGTACAGGATCAGGTAGATCTCTGTCTTGACCAGTCTTTCTTGCATGTACTAACTGCTTTCTGTGCTGCAGTCTTGGTACTGAAATCACCTTAAGATGTGGAAGCTGAGGAAAAACATTTCTGATGTAATTGGAAAAGATTATGTATTTTAGTCCTAGCAGAAGTGCATACTACTGTACATTGTGCTGAAGAAGTGATGTAGAAAATGGGAACATTTTTTGGTCAGATGCCCATCTTTCCCCTCCCCCCTCCCCCGTGATTTGGCTGATGGAGTCTGTAAATCAACTCAGACTGCACTCATGAATAGCTGGAGGCTGTTATATTAACCTGTTGCACCAGCTCATAGTGTATCCAGCCCCCTTTGTACTAAGATACTATAATTTGTTTTAAGTGTTTGTGACCCCTATGTTGTTCTACAGTTCTAGTTAAAAACATCTTGCTTTGGTGATTTTAAACTGTTGTTGTGTATATAACAAACAGGTTCTCAGATGCAGTAAAATAACAGCTGTTAAGGTTACAGAAATAACAGAACTCATTCAAAAAGCCTTGGAGAACGACCAGAAAGTTAGGTGAGTGTTTTGGGAAGGAAGGGAAATGGATATTTTTAAGAAACATACTAAAAATTGTCAACCTGTAGTTTGAACAGGAAATTGTTTTCATTTGTATTTGTTTTAAATAGCAAATATTTGTATATTTGAACTTCAAAAGAGCATTTTTAAGTGTGAAACATTCTGAAATAATGTGTCACTGAATGACTAGGAAAGAAGGTGGGAAGTTTGGCTTTGCAGAATCTATACCGAATCAAAAGATCACTGCCTTCAAAATGGAAAGCGCTGCTGTTGATACCAACAATGTGGAAGAACAAGCAGAAGCAATCATCACGAAAGCTGACCCTCCTTCAGAAGTGTATCCTTTCTGTGGTGGTATTCAGGGAAAAAGCAGGCTTCCCACCTCCTGCGTTAGCACTGCTAGAAGCTTAAACACATCCAAGATTCCTCACAGCTTGGGTAGTCTTACAGCCTGCAGAGGAACAGGCGACACCATGCTGGTTTTGGTTCTGACTGCTTTTAGGCAACGTAATTCCTAGCATAAAGTGTAAAACTGAGGTCTGAAGTGCCTGATTATTACAGCACCTGGAGAAGTGCTCTCTTTCTCTCACTACTCCCCTTTAAGATTTTTTTTCCCCTGGAGATAAAAGATACAGCTTACAAACCAACTGGCTTGCTTTCAGAATACAAAGAGTTTGCCAGAAGACACTAAGATTTTTCTTAACTATTTCAGTTTCACTAAACCAATACTGCACACTCCTGGGACAGCCCAAATTGGAGAAGGGATAGAGAACTCCTGGGGAGACCTTGAAGATTCTGAGAAGGAGGAAGTGGTTGAAGAGGAAGGTGAAAGTGAGGTGACTGCGTTGGAATGTCAGAAAATGGAAACTGTGGATACAGCTACCATAAAGGAAACTAAGAAGGGTAAGTATTTATTTATCTTGAGATCAGATACATCTATAACATCACTTATATTAGCACTCTAGAATTAAAATATGAAAGAGGTCCTTAGCAAGGAAGGAGAACTGTTGTAGCCACTTTCCACTGAGAGTTACACCCATTTGCTATTTCCACTTAACCTGGACACTTGCTTTCTTCGAAAGGAAACTTAATTTCTATAGTATGCTGAGGACTCCAAGTTAAGCACTTGCCACTTTGAAGGTTTCTTTTTAAATGTTGCGGTTATTAGTTACAGAAGTTGTTAGTACAAAACTGCTCACAGTTCATGGGTTTGTTTGGGGGATTTGGTATTTTTCAGATGAACCTATTGTGCTGTCTGACAGTGAAGAGGAGGAAGTTGTCATTCTGGAGCCACAGGAAGTACCAAGGAAAACAAGGTAACCATCATGGGGAATTAAGAGGTGAAAGGAGTTTTTAAGGAATATTTTCAGGAAGCACAGGATTTTGGCCAGGCCAAGAAAGGTCTCAGTTGGTCAAGGGAACTACAGAGGTAGCTGAGAACGAGGAACTTTTAAGTCTGAGCTAGTTTGCTCCTGTCCCAGGAGGCCAGGCATCCTGGCCAACCTGCAGCTGTCCAAACTGGTTACTGATATGACTGATATCTGACCAGAGGAAGGGAGATCATATAAGAGTGGATGTGAATCAGCTGCTCGTCACAGATGCCACAGAGATTCTATATGTTACACTGTAGCTAATCTTACATTGTATCTCTGAGAAGTGTGACTTACTGCTGTATCCCTACACTCACTATGGAAACCTTCATTGTATTTATTACACTTTCTAGAAACTGACTATGCACTGAGCATGGTGGATGGTTGCCCTGTTAGGGATAGGCAGCCTGTGTTCTTTTGAAATAAAACTATTTAGTATGTTTCTCTGATACAAATGTTGTTTGCTCACAGAACACAGAACAACTCAAACCAAGGAACTACAACTAAGAAAGCATTTAACAAGAGGAGGAGAAAGAAGAGAGCTACTCGCTAAAGCCATCATTTCTCCTTCAGAAATGCTGTATAACACATCACTTGGTCTGTCATTACTGAACTTATTTTTTAAGATAACTTTATTTCCTCCTACCCATGTCTGGTCCTGCTTTTATGTATGTTTTATAAAAACTATTGTATACAGCTTTAAATAAAATCACATGTAAAAAAAATTGTGGTTACCATCCAACTGCAGCAGAAAACTTATACTTCAACTTGAACCAAGTCAAGTTAAACAACTGAAATTAGAGGTAAAATGCAGTTTTTGTAACAAAACAGCCTCTGCGAGTACTGAAGTGAGCTGTGTAGAGTCAGAGCTTAGTTATAAAAGGAGTTATAGCTCAAGTTTAATTGAGCTAGGAAAAGCTGCTTTTAGTTAAGGTAGCTACTGCCACACCTTGGAAGTGTTTCATACCTTGGAATGTCCCTAACAGGGGGAAGTGATGTGCTACGACTCAGACCTTCCCCTGGTCACCACATCTTACCTTTCACTGAAATGGCTTTGTCCAAAAATCAACAGAAATGCATGTACTTTAAAATAGCACAGAACTTCTGAAGACATTTCACAAAGAAGAAACTCGAGCAATGGAGTTTTTTAAAAAGTTTAATTAAATATTACATGCCATACACAGGAACACTGCTTGAGCTATATGCAAAGAACTATGCTATGAAGGGTAAAACAAAGAAGAGATGAGGAGGTTTCCAAGTATCTGACCTAGCTGCTCTGTTTGAAAACCCAGTCAAACTGGAAACATGCACATATTTACAAGAGCAAAGAAGGACTATTTTACATGTGACCTTAGTATTTCATGACGTATGAACAGGAGAGAAATTACTGTTGCAGATAATACATTTCCCAGATCAAGTTTAGAATTTTATGTTAAAAAATAAAATTACTCTCAGCCAAGCAAAGCTTTAATGAAGTTGCATTCTTTCAGAAAAGGATAAACCCAGAAAGCCCTGTTCCTCCAGGAGCTAAACCAGTGCATTTTCTTAGTGTCAGTTCTTCCAACCCAAAGTCACTGTCAGGAGTACAAGTATGAGGGAAGACTGAGTTTCTTCTTACTTCTGCAGTACCACAAGACCTTAAAGTTCTTCAGGAAAGTGACTGCTGTTCTGTGCACCACTCTTTCTCTCTTCTTCACACATAACATCTCATACCCTGCATTCCTTAGAGACATTATTGTAAAAGGAGTAAAAGTTAAACTGGATAGGCAAAACAGCAGTACAGTACAACCTGGAGTTATTATTTTGTTCAAAACTTAGTAGCAAGAGCTAGAACCATCCCATACTAACTTCAGAAAATGAGAAGATGAAAAAAGCTGGTACTTGCTGCAGCAGCAAGAGCTGTCAGTGAGGAAGGAAGATCATACATAGTCATACTGGGCAGAGATGCCAGCCCATGATGGAAGCATTTTTTTTAGGCTGTACAGGAAGTCAACTCATGTTGAAAGTAAAGCTCACAGAGTAAGGGAGAAATTTCTCTGTACTCTGGGAACAGTAACAGAACAACTGTCATTCAAGATAGAGCAAAGAGACATTTCTTTAAACAGTAAATACTATAAACCACTGAAGTAGTACTGCTACTTGCTTTTTCTGGGGTAAACAATTTGTAAGCTTCCTCTGAATTATTCTTCCAACATTGGTATTTCTCAGTGGTATTAAAAGTTTCCAGTAAGTGCTACAGAAAAAGGGGAAGGCAGAACCCAGTTTCTCAGGAAGAGCGCTATGGTCTCTGTCTTCAAAGACTAATTGCCAGTCAGCATTGAGTTGCCCTTCCAAGGTCACAAACTGATGTTGCATCTGTGGCAAACAGGTTCCTGTATATAAACTCCCTCTCCTGTAAGGTCAGAGCATTTCCCATACAAAGCACCAGACATGATACACTGCAGTTTTTTCCCCAGCTAATTTTAGCTTTTCAGTGCCAAGCTACTGAAATTAAGCTAAAGAAAGGCTATTGGAGAACATGGTAGACCAATGAAGTATGGTTCTTCCTTAAACATTAAAACACATAAAAAAGCCAAAGTGCATCCTAAAAAACTCCAATTGGCCAAAAAGAGGCAGCCTCTGCTACATGCTTTTGTCTTGACTGGATAAGCCACCACCACTTGATCAGTTTTGTAACTGAGTTCATGGAGGGCTCAGACTACAGGATGAGGGACAAAACAGCAAGTTTTTAATTACTGTGTTGAGGCATGCGAGTTGTCTCACTATAATGCATGCTTGTCAACTTGACAGATTTTAAAAAAACACTTTAAATAGTCCACAGCATAACAACTGTTCCACATCTGTGAAGAATTTATACTGTTACCTGCTGGGTGTTCAGATAACCAGACAGGCAGTGTTGAATCAACTTCAAGTTAAAGTGACATGGATTTCACAGGGCAGCCATTGCCAAAAAGCTTTAGAAATGAATGCCAGTTTTTGAGATGGTAGTGCTACCCCTCAGTGTTTTTAAGGTATTGGCAAGACCAGTAACATCAGATGTTAAAACTGTTTATTAGCCAATCTGGAAATGGCTCAATTAAATCCACTTCCATGCATTCACTGATTCACATGCAAAGAACAGCAAAGTACAGGGCAGCATCACTCCATTTATACAGGTTGAAGGGAAGCATCCACTCGATCTACTGCCAATTACATGTTAATTTGCTCATAAAACAGTTCTAGAACTAAGAAAAAGGATGACCAGCTGGTCTACATATTTGCCAGATGCCACAGAGGAACCCTTTCCAAACAAGGGGGTAGTATAGAAACCACCTCATTCTGCACACAACCCACCCACACCAGAAGACATTCCTTTCTCTTGCAGGCACAGAGCACTTGTTCACTCTCCTGCAGGTTAATTCCTCTACCGCCCCTAGACAGGTACTAGGTAACCAAGTGGAGGACTAGTTTTTTTAGTAGGCATCGATGGACTTTCAGGACAGCTAACACATCAGTGGGAACTTCATGGGTTTAAGTTAGTATCAGTTTTACACTTTGACTAGAAAATACCTAGAGCAAGACCATTTTGCATGTACCGGGAGAACAAGTATGAACTGGTATACTAGTGTTAGGCATGCAGTCCCTGCAGCAGAGTGCTCAACCTTTAACCTGCCGGAGATCTGGCAATACATTACATAGCAATCCAGGCTTCTAGTAACTGGCACATCCTCAAGTCTCACAAAAGTCAATTCCAGCAAGGTGGTGTGGTCGTAGCTGTAGATTTTTCAGTATTATAGCTATTAAGCCACATTTCAGATCTATACTAAGTCTCAGTTTAAACTAGACAGTATAAAAAAAAAATGCTACAAATACTGCTGTGGAGTCCAAGTCACTTTTACCTGGAAGGAGGAAAAAGCCCTACTATAATAACACACTGCTAATATTAATTAATATTTAGTCGATAATTAGATAAGCAGTCTCAGATGTCACATTGTTTGCATGGTTAATTCCATGCTTGAAGAGAAAATTCTTATAAAAACCCAGCTAAATATTTTAACAAGATTGCATGTACAAAAGATTTACATTAAAACCACATAAAACTAACTTGATAATTATGCTGATCAAAACCTGTATTAATATCCTGAGTGATCACATGTAGATTTTTGAACCATGTATATTACGAGAAAAGGATGTACAGTTTTAAACATCTTCTTAAAAATCAGTCTCTTGTTCATTACAATAAGTTTAGTGTCTCTGGTGGATCAATAAGCGATACTCCATGGTACCTAGAGAGGGAGAAAAAGATGCAGGATGTCATCTTGCTCAAGTGCTTTCTGCCATAAAGAGTAGCACACATACTGCAGCGAAGCATGTTTCTCACAATGCACAGCCAGCAGGAAAACATTCTGGAGCTTGCCAGCTGCCATGCTGACACATTTTCAGGAGCATCAGGTACCACCTCCTGCCTACCGACTGTAGCAATGTCAAGAAAATTCCTCCATTTTCTACCTGGCAGTTCAGGTAGTGATAGCAGGCCCAGTGGTGAAAGTGCAGTACTGCTCCACAAAGCACTGTGCAAACATCTTGAGAGTCTTACCACCATTTTGCATACATGGTAATTTGGCAAGTTGAGTCTGAGGGGAGACTCCTCTGGAGAGACACCCAACCTCCCACCCCATTAAGCAATTCCATGCTAGAACAACTCAGGCGTGACATATCAGCTTACCCCACAGATACTCACTTTGTGCTCTTATACTTTTCCCTTATGGACTGTTGCGTGTGCTGCGCTGCTTTGAGGTAGGTCTTATGTAGGTCCATGAGGCAAGGCTTGATGTGTTCAAGGGTGTAGCCTGTTACTTTGCACAGGGATTCAGGCTAAGGAAACAAAAGCAGGAGGGACAGTTAACATGCCTGTTTCGTTATGCTGATGACCACTGGTGGAGTTTTTAGCTTCCTGTTGAAACTCTGTTGTCCTGGTAGTTGACAGAATCTCATTGTTATGGTTTAAGGGTTACCAGCCT